TGAAGATTGATGCTTTATTACACTACTTTTTATGAGATGACCCATAGACCTTTACATAGGAGAATTCTATATCATTGATATCCTTTTTCTATCTTTCTTTCACCCCTTCATTTATCTGTATATTCTTATTGCTTTACAACTAATAATCTTATTTTTTTTTTTTTATTTCAGTTGCTATAATTATATCATCACATAGATCCTTATTTTGATTTTAGATTTTCGGCGGTTCTTTATATCCAGATAATGGGAAGCGATGAGTAGGTTATTTATTCTTTAGTAATTAATTCGACGAATTTTTGTAGAAAATTAACCACTCTAAAAAAAAACCAACGAGTCACACACTAAGCATAGCAACTCCTTCATTATAAAATGATTAATTAATTTTTTTTTATTTAATCTTTTAAAATTTTTCATTTCTTCTTTGAGAATAAGAACGTAGTAAGAATTCGTCATTTTTTGTTTTCTCAAAAGATGGAACGTTATAAGGAAAAGGTTATTAGTCGTTGTTTATAAATATCCAAACTTTGATTCCTAAGACCCCATAAATAGTTCGAACTGGATAGGAACAATAATCAATTTTAGCTCGAATGGTTTGTAGAGGAATCCTACCTTCTCTGATCCATTCGACACGTGCAATTTCGTTTCCGTCGATGCGTCCCGCAATTTGTATTTGAACTCCTTTTGTACCTGCACCTGCCTCTTCAGCGAATTTTTTTATAGTTTTTTGCATTGCTTTACGAAACGGAATTCTATTCTTTAATTGTCTGGCTAGAAATTCTGCAAGAATATTCGGGTCTCTATAAACATTTGGAATTCTTGTAATTTCAATGTTGATTTGTCGGTTCACACAATTTATTTTTTTTTGCACATTAGTATGTAATTCTTCCATTCTTTCAGGGTTATCCTCTATTACTAAGTTTGGGTTTGGAAGTCCCATATTGATTATCACGTGAATCAGATCGCGTGTTTTTTTAATCTTTATTCGTCCAATTCCCTCGCCATCGACAGCGGTTGTTGTTTTTTGTATTTTTTGTATATAATTCTTGATACAATCTCGTATTATTTTATCTTCTTTTACATTCTCGGAATAAATTCTTGGTTGTGCAAACCAAATAGAATCATGACTTTGAGTTGTACCAAGTCTGAAACCAAGCGGATGTATTTTTTGTCCCATAATCCCTCACTACTCTATATAAAATAATACGTCTGATTTGTCTACTTTTTTATCTATATATATATATTTTTTTTAATATCTTGATATATCTTTTTTTTTCTGCAAAGCATTAGTTCTATTATAATAACCCATTTCAATTTTTGAATATTATTAATTACCATTCACGCTTTGTGTTGTGAATAGACAAAAATATTTTTTGAACAAAGGGTTATATTTCTCTGTATTGGTTCTATTTTCACGAAAAAATAAAATCTGTTTTTTTGATTGCAGAATAATACAATTCTTTTTGAGTAATTTATTAATTAATATTTATTAATGACTATTACTAAATTTATGTTAAAATGAATGTTAACGACGAGATCTATTATCATTTTTCGCAAAGCCTCGGAAGTTTCGAGTAGGTGAAAATTCTCCCAATTTATGGCCTACCATACGATCTGTTATATAAATAGGTAAATGCTCTTTTCCATTATGGATAGCAATGGTATGCCCAATCATTGTAGGTAGAATGGTAGATCTTCTGGACCAAGTTATTATTATTTCTTTTTCTCCTTTTGTGTTAAGCTTATTTATTTTTCTTAATAAATGATTCGCTACAAAAGGATTTTTTTTTAGTGAACGTGTCATAGTTAATTATTCCTCTTAAAATTTCTAAAAAAATGAATTTTTTCTCTTATATTTTTTATTTTATTTCCAATTTTAAAATATAGAATCTCTTTTTAAAATATAGAATCTCTCAAAAAAGAAAATCATAGAATGTCATAGTCAATCGCTCTTTTCTTTTGTAAAGACGAAGAAACAAATTCTATTTTCTCTACTATCCACTATTGACTACGGCGACGAAGAATCAAATTATCACTATATTTCTTCCTTTTTCTAGTTCTTCTTCCAAGTGCAGGATACCCCCAAGGAGTTGAGGGTTTTTTTCTACCAATTGGGGCCCTCCCTTCACCACCCCCATGTGGATGGTCTACAGGGTTCATAACTACCCCTCTTACTACAGGACGCTTGCCTCGCCAACGTTTAGCTCCGGCTCTGCCCAAACTTTTCTGGTTTACCCCAACATTCCCCACTTGTCCGACTGTTGCTGAGCAGTTTTTTGATATCAAACGGACCTCTCCAGAAGGTAATTTTAATGTTGCTGATTTACCCTCTTTTGCAATCAGTTTCGCTACAGCACCCGCTGCTCTAGCTAATTGTCCACCCTTTCCAAGTGTTATTTCTATGTTATGTATGGCCGTGCCTAAGGGCATATCGGTTGAAGTAGATTCGTCTTTTTGATCAATCAAAACCCCTTCCCAAACTGTACAAGCTTCTTCCAAAGCATACGGCTTTCTGGATGTAGATTAGAATATCTATACAGATACATCTTATATATCGTTTATTTCGTATATTATATATGACATAACGAAGTACCATACCACATGAGTGGATATATAATATACGAATCCAAATATTCTGAATGACTCATGTTATGATCTTCTACATCCTAGGTCTTTCTGTTCCTTCATCTGGCTTATGTTCTTCATGTAGCATTCAGACCGAATGACTCTATGAAATTACGTTGCTACTTAGACATAGTACGGGTAACGTAGGAGACATTTCTATTTTTTCCCGGGGGAATCCTTAGAATTACCACTGCTTAGCTTTCAATTTGCCTTTGACCATCAAATGAAATGTGAATAATCTGTGTCTTCCCCCCTTTGTTTTTTGAAACGAGGAGCACTTCGTGTTCTGTCGGTGCTTGAAACAATTTTGTCTTCTCCATATTACTATATCTCTAGGGTCAATAATTTTATATTAGGAACTACTGAACTCAATCACTTGCTGCTGTTACTCTTCAGTTTTCTGTTGAAGTCTATCCTGTAGAGGTACTCAAATAGGATCAGTGATCGATTTCTAGGTTTCGCCTTAAACCTAATTGGTTACTTCCAATTACGTAAATCTATAGTTCAAACCGCACTCAAAGGTAGGGCATTTCCCATTTTTATAGGAACTTTTGTACCATAAATAATGGTATCTCCAATTATAGCCCCTCTGGGGTGTAAAATATATCTTTTCTCACCATCCCCATAGTGTATGAGACAAATGTGTGCATTTCGATTAGGGTCGTATTCGATAGTTACAATTCTACCATATATGTCTTTTTCATTGCGTCGAAAATCAATTTTACGGTATAGACGCTTATGACCTCCCCCTCTATGCCCTGCGGTAATGATTCCTCTGGCATTACGCCCTTTACCACAATGATGCTGTCCAGAAATCAAACGATTTCGTGAATTGGATTTCACTTGACTGTTTACGGCTCCATTGCGTGTGTTCGGGCTAGAAGTTTTGGATAAATGTATCGCCATGTTATGAAGTGTATTTTTATTTAAGTTATTTTCTTTCTAAGAGGTGGAATAGAATAACCCGGTTGAAGCGTAATGATCATACGTTTGTAATGCCTTGTATGTCCCATAATAGGTCGTATTCTTCTACCCTTTATTGGGATTGCGAGTTGATTCATAGTTCTTACCTTGACACCAAAGAAGAGTTCGACCCAATGTTTTCTTTCTGTCCTAGTTAATCCTGATTTGACATGAAAAGTATATTGATTTTTTCGAAATAACGAAAATTTAGTGTCTGTAAATACTGCAGATTTTATTCCATTCATAAATCTATTTTATTCTTTCTTCCCGATGAGTTCTAGTCTCACTAAAAATACTAGTTTTTTTACTGTTCATTTATTAAAATTTGAATATACCACACCAATTTGTTATGTATGGATGATGAGATTCCATTGATACAGATCCAAGTCTCGATTCAAATACTACTAAGCTAAGAGGTCTACTACAGATCAGAAATTATTTAAATAGAATAAATAAAGAAATTCTTTCTTTATTTAGAAATGATCAATTCTTGAAGTTTCTATTATTTTCAAATTCAATTATTAAAGAAAGAAGAAGATGTTTCTTTTTTTCTTTGGAGGAAATTGGAAAAGAAAGAAATAGCCAATATAGTCAAGATAATCATGTATTTACAAAATAATGTCTCAATTCATCCTATATTCATCCGATGGAGGATGTGATAGGATTGCAAAGGAGAAACTTTTGACAGTTCAAAATAATAATTCATGATTAAAAATATAGTTTTTAGGGGAGATATTTCTATTGGCATGCATCCAGTAGGAATTGAACCTACGACTTCGCCAATTATGAGTTGGGCGCTTTAACCATTCAGCCATGGATGCTTCGAGGGAACAACCCTCCGACTTGATGAATAACCAAATTTCAATTGAAGTGAAATCTTTTGGATAAATCAATAGAAATACATACATAAAGAAATAACTTAATAGAAATACATACATAAAGAAATAACTTAATAGAAATACATACATAAAGAAATAACTTAATAGAAATACATACATAAATAAATAACTTAATAGAAATACATACATAAAGAAATAACTTAATAGAAATACATACATAAATAAATAACTTAATAGAAATACATACATAAAGAGATAAATTATTTTTAATTTTTTAAGGAGGATCCTATGAAGAACAATCAATTCCACTTTTGGATTTTCGAATTGCGAGAAATTTTTAGAGAGAGCAAGAATTGTGCCTATTTCTTAGATTCCTGGACGCAATTCAATTCAGCGATATCTGTCATTCACATTTTTTTGCATCAAGAGAGTTTGATAAAAGTCTTAGACTCCAGAATTTGGAGTATCCTAGTTTCACGTCAGTCACAGGGTTTAACAAGAAATCGATATTTCACGATCAAGAATGTAGTACTTTTTGTAGTAGCGATCCTTCTATATCGTATTAACAATCGAAGGATGATCGAAAAAAAAAATATTTATTTGACAGGGCTTCTTCCTATACAAATAAATTCCATTGGATCCGGCAATGATAGATTGGAAGACTCAAAAGATTCGTTCAATATCAATAGGTTGATTGTTCCGCTCCTGTCTGGTCCAAAAGAAAAAAAGATCTCTGATCGCTCTTTTTTCTCGGACAGATGGTCCCAACTTCATCTGGATTTGAATCCTACTGAGAAGTCCGCTCAAGATCTTCAATTATTAAAGAAAGAAGAAGATGTTTCTTTTGTTCTTTGGAGGAAATTGGAAAAGAAAGAACTAGCCAATATAGTCAAGATAATCATGTATTTACAAAATAATGTCTCAATTCATCCTATTTCATCCGATGGAGGATGTGATAGGATTGCAAAGGAGAAACTTTTGACAGTTCAAAATAATAATTCATTCTTGACCAAAAATCTAGTTTTTGGTTTATTTCATCTATTCCATGACCAGAATAGGGGGGGGTACTTGTTACATCGCAATTTTCAATCAGAAGAGAGATTTCAAGAAATGGCAAATCTATTTAATCTATCACTAACTAAGCCGGATCTGGTCTATCGTAATGGATTCTCTTTTTCTATTGGGTTTTCTGAACCGGAATCAAAAAAAAAATCTTTATTGGTTCTGCCGCGGCTTTTTGACGAAGCGAATGAATCTTTTTATCCAAAGATCATAAAAAAATGGGTCCAGACCTCTTGTGGGAATTATTTTCAAGGTAATCGATTCAATCGCAACTTCGAATATGTACTTCAAAGGTATCAAAATGATATTCTGAATCATAGACCTATAAGGAAACACACGATCAATCAACGTTTCTCAAATTTGAAAAAGAGTCAGAAGAAATGCTTTGATCGTCTTATTTTTATTTATCGAACCGAGAGATCCGTGAATAAGGATCCAAATGCATATAAATACAAATGGTCCAAGGGGAGCACAAATTTCCAGGAACATTTGGACCATTTCATTTCTGAGCAGAATAGTCGTTTTAAAGTAGTGTTCGATCGATTACATATGAATGCATATTCGATTGATTGGGCTGAGGTTATCGACAAAAAAGATTTTTCTAAGTCACTTTGTTTCTTTTTGTCCAAGCTTCTTCCCTTTTTGTCTAACTCACTTCCTTTTTTCTTTGTGAGTTTCGGGAGTATGCCCGTTCATAGGTCCCAGAGCCATATGTATGAATTGAAACGTATGAATGATGCACTCGAGAATCAGTTGTTAGAATCAATAGGTCTGCAAACGGTTCATTTGAAAAAAAGGAAATCCCCATTATTGGATGACTATTATACTTCTCAAAAATCAAAATTCTTGATCAATGAAGGAACAATATTACCATTTTTGTTCAATAAGATACCAAACCAAGACAATTGGCTGAATCCTGTGAAATGTTTTCATAGAAGTTCATTGATTTCCTCTTTTTATAAAGTAAATCGACTTCGATTCTTGAATAATCAATATAACTTCTCTTTCGATTGTAACAAAAGATTCTCTTTTTATGGGGAAAGGTCCTATAATTATGATTTTATGTATGAACAATTCCTCAATGTCTTGTTCATTCGAAAGAAAAGATTTTCTTTGTGCGGCGGTAAAAAAACACATGCTTTTTTGGACAGAGATACTATTTCACCAAGCGAGTTAGAGGTCTCTAAGATATTGAGACCGAAGAATTTTCCGCAAAGTGGTGATGACGGATATGACTTGTACAAATCTTTCCATTTTTCAACTCGTGTTCCTAGATCTATTTACTCGATCGCGGACATTTCTGGAACACCTCTAACAGAGGAAGAAATAGTGAATTTGGAAAGAACTTCTTGTCAACCTCTTTCCCCTATTAATTTATCTGATTCAAAAAGGAAGAACTTGCATCAGTATCTTGATTTCGATTCAAACATGGGTTTGGGTTTGCTTGACACTCTATATTCTGAAAAATTTATACCATCCGCAAAGAGGAAAAAACCTCTAAAAAAATTCCTTGGAAAAGGGCAGATGTATAGAAACTTTCAAAGAAAAAGAAAAAGAAAGAGTATTTCTTCAATTCTCTCCAAATTGAAGCGATTACGCCCGTATATAATACCGTTGTTCCTTACCTGGACAGGGCACAAATATATCAATTTCATATTTTTAGATACTCTTTCAGACCTATTTGCGATACTAAGGAGGAGTCCTCAATTTAAAAAATTTGTATCTATTTGGCAGAATATTATGCATGGATCCAAGGGAAGTCTTCGGAAAAAACTGTGGGGAATTCTTCGGAAAAAACTGTGTCTTTCACAACGGAATCGTATAAGTGAGATTTCGAGTAAGTCTTTCCATAATTTTCTTGTAGACATGTACAAAGATCTTTTTCACACAAATAATGAGTCACCATTCATATCGACACATCTGAGATCACGAAATATTGAGGAGTTCCTGGTTTCAATCCTTTTACTTCTTCTTGTTACTGGATATCTTGTTTATACACATCTTTTCTTTGTTTCTCGCTTCTCTAATGAGTTACAGACAGAGTTCGAACAGGTCAAATCTTTGATGATTCCATCCTACATCATTGAATTGCGAAAACTTCTGGATAGGTATCCTCTATCAGAACAAAATTCTTTCTGGTTAAAGGATATCTTTGGAGTTGCTCGAGAACAATTAGGAAATTTTTTAGAAGAAAGGCGAGGTTGGCCTTCTGGCGGGGACATCCCAAGGGGTGGTGGTTTCGCTGATGGGGTCAAATCCATACGTTCGAAGAAGAACGGTTTTAATCTCATGGATCTCATAAGTATTATACCAAATCCCATCAATCGAATCGCGTTTTTGAGAAATACGAGACATTTAAGTCATACAAGTAAAGCAATCTATTCATTGATAAGGAAAAGAAAAAACATGAATAGTAATTGGATTGATGATAAAATAGAATCCTGGATCTCGACTAGTGATTTCATTGCTGATAAAGAAAGAGAATTCTTGGTTCAGTTCTCTACCTTAACGACAGAAAAAAGGCTGGATCAAATTTTATTGAGTCTGACTAATAGTGATCAGTTATCAAAGAATAACTCTGGTTATCAAATGATTGAGCAACCAGGAACAATTTACTTACGATATTTAATTGACATTCATAAAAAGGATCTGATGAATTATGAGTTCAATACATCCTGCTTAGCAGAAAGACGGGTATTCCTCGCTCATTATCAGACAATCACTTATTCAGAAATCCCGTGTGGGGCTAGTTGTTTGGATTTATCATCTCATGGGAAACCCTTTTCGCTACGCTTAGCCCTATCCCCTGCTAGGGGTATTTTAGTGATAGGTTCGATAGGAACTGGACGATCCTATTTGCTCAAATATCTAGCGACAACCACCTATGTTCCTTTCATTACAGTATTTGTAAACAAGTTCCTGGAGAACTTTCCTAAGGGTTTTGATAGTGATGATAGTGAGGACGACATGTTTGATGAAAGAGAGGGTACCATTTACAGTCTTTTACCTAATAACGAGGGTAGTTGCTATAATTCCGAGAATTATGAAAGGGATGATAGTGACGATCTCGACCGTAAGCTTGATAGCCAGTTGAAGTTTCTAAGTATGGAGGATCCGGTATCTAGCGATCTGATGGAAATAGACCGGTTTTATCTCACGCTTCAATTCGAATTAGCAAAAGCAATGTCTCCTTGCATAATTTGGATTCCAAACATTCATGATCTGGATAGGAATGAGTCGAATGACTTATCGCTGGGTATATTAGTGAACTCTCTTTCCAGCGATTCGGAAAAAGGTTCTACTAGAAATATTCTAGTTATTGCTTCTACTCATATTCCAAAAAAAGTAGACCCTGCTTTAATAGCTCCGAATAAATTAAATACATGCATTAAGATACGAAGGCTTCTTATTCCACAACAAAGAAAGCACTTTTTTACTCTTTCATATACTAGGGGATTTCACTTGGAAAAGCAAATATTCGATACTAATGGATTGGGGTCTATAACTCTGGGTTCTAATGTACGAGATCTTGTAGCACTTACTAATGAGGCGCTATCGATTAGTATTATACAAAAGAAATCTATTATAGACACTAATATAATTAGATCTGCTCTTCATAGACAAACTTGGGATTTTAGATCTCAGATAAGATCGATTCAGGATCATGGGATCCTTTTTTATCAGATAGGGAGGGCTGTTTCACAAAATCTACTTCTAAGTAATTGCTCTATCGATCCTATATCTATCTATATGAAGAAGAAATCATGTGCAGAGGGGGATTCTTATTTGTACAAATGGTACTTCCAACTTGGAACAAGCATGAAGAAATTAACCATACTTCTTTATCTTTTGAGTTGTTCTGCCGGATCGGTCGCTCAAGATCTTTGGTCTCTACCCGGACCTAATGAAACAAATGATGGGATCACTTCTTATAGACTCCTTGAGAATGATTCTGATCTAGTTCATGGGCTATTAGAAATAGAAGGTGCTCTGCTGGAACCCTCACAGACAGGAAGTCGGTTTGATAATGATGGCGTGACATTGCTTCTTCGGTCCGAACCAAGAAATCCCTTAAATATGATTCAAAATGGGTCTTCTTCTATCGTTGATCAGAGATTTCTCTATGAAAAATATGAATCGGGGTTCGAAGAAGGGGAAGGAGTCTTCGACCCGCAACCGCTAGAGGAGGATTTATTCAATCACATACTTTGGGCTCCGAGACTGTGGCGCCCTTGGGGCTTTCTCTTTGACGAAGGGTCCAATGAATTGAGATTTCCCTATTGGGAAGGGTCATTTCAGGACAAACCGATCCTTGATGATTATGATGAAGAGGGTAAGCTTCAAGAGAATGATAATGATTCGCAGTTCTTGCAGGATGGAATCATGCAGGACCAGACACGAGCGAGATTTTCCAACGAACAGGGCTTTTTTCGAATAAGCCAATTCATTTGGGACCCCGCAGATCCACTGTTTTTGCTATTCCAAGAGGATCCTTTTGGATCTGTATTTTCACATCAAGAATTTTCTCCAGATGAAGAGATGTCAAGGATACTTTTGACTTCCCAAACCCAAAAAATTGATTGGAAATATCTAAATAAACCCTGGTTTAGGAAGAATATGCAAGAACAGAATTTCAAATTGTTGATTGATCGCCAGAGATGGTTTAGAACCAATAGTTCAGTATCAAATGAATTTTTTCGTTCTAATACTCTATACGAGAGTTATCAATATTTATCAAATCTGTTCCTATCTAACGGAACCCTATTGGCTCAACTCACAAAGACATTGTTGAGAAAAAAATGGCTTTTCCCAGACGAGATGGTTGTGACTATCTGTTCCAATAACGAACGATTGGTTTAACTGAATAATGAAATGAAATAAAATAGATACTTTCTTTCTCGTCGTCTCAAGTCGATATTAGGGGATCTTCTCAATTGAAAGATCCCCTAATATTGATAATCCATATTGCCGTTGACCGAGCCTACTTGTTTTGAAGCAAATAAAGAGATCCACAGGGTAATTTGTCCTATTCAGATATTCACGACCAATAAGTACAGAATTTTCTTTCTTTTCGGATAGGTCCTGTCCTGAAAGGAGAAAGAAGGTTGACATAGGCGGCTATTTTGGAATTCACCCGACCCGAGCGTACAGTACCCATTTTTTTGAATGTCGAGTGCCAAAGTCATTGAATGGGTAAGTCACCAATCTCCAAAATCAAATATATAATGTACTTTATCCGTTGGTTTAGGGTAGGGGGATTGCAGGTGGGACGATTTCAAAATGTACTCTCCATTCATTAGATAGATAAGATCACCAAAACTTCGTGATCTGCTGGCGAACTTATTCCAATTCAATTTCAATAAGAGATCTCAATATTATGCCTTGAAGAGGACTCGAACCTCCACGCTGTTTAGCACGAGATTTTGAGTCTCGCGTGTCTACCATTTCACCACCAAGGCATCCTTAAAGGGAATCATATTCTCTGAATATGATATCTATCTTATGTCATGGTTCAATATTATTATACTCCAATTCTAATCCAATTGCAACATAGAATACAACATCTCAAATAGAATACAACATCTCAAATAGAATACGGTACGATATAATACAGTATCTACTATATAATACAGCGAGAATAGAATTCTTTCTCGACTAAATAAATATAGCTTCTAGATGAACGAAAAGCTAGTCAAAGGGTCGATTCAAAATTGGTAGACGCTACGGACTTAATTGTATTGAGCTTTGGTATGGAAACATAGTAATGTTAAGTGAAAACATAACATAATATAATACAGCATCTACTATATAATACAACATGTACTATATAATACAGCGAGAAGAGAATTCTTTCTCGACTAAATAAATATAGCTTCTAGATGAACGAAAAGCAAGTCAAACGGGGGATATGGCGAAATTGGTAGACGCTACGGACTTAATTGTATTGAGCCTTGGTATGGAAACATATTAAGTGAAAACTTTCAAATTCAGAGAAACCCTGGAATTTTAAATGGGCAATCCTGAGCCAAATCCTTCTTTCCGAAAACAAAAAACTAAAAGTTCAGAAAAAAAGGATAGGTGCAGAGACTCAATGGAAGCTATTCTAACAAATGGAGTTGACAACATTCAATTGATTAATGAAGATTTCTAACTTCTATTTGTAAATTGTAACTATTTTTTTTAGTTTTGATTCGATCACAATTGAAACGAAACATTAGAATCAAATCAATTCCAACTGGAAGAAAAAATGGTGAATATTCATTGATCAAATCAGTCACTCCACCAAAATATGATGGATCTTTTGAATAACTGATTAATCAGACGAGAATAAAGATAGAGTCCCATTCTACATGTCAATACCGACATCAATGAAAGTTTTAGTAATCGGAAAATCCGTCGACTTTAAAAATCGTGAGGGTTCAAGTCCCTCTATCCCCAAAAGCCGATTGAATTTGCTCATTTTTATGGCCCTTTCCCTTTTTTTTATTGAGTTGACATAGACTCAAGTAATTTCCCTCAAATTAGGATGGTGCGTCAAGATTTTAATGGTCGGGATAGCTCAGCCGGTAGAGCAAAGGACTGAAAATCCTTGTGTCACCAGTTCAAATCTGGTTCCCGGCGACTCATTATGTATGAGTATCTATTCCCATATTTCTTTTCAAAAATCAAATATTGGGAGGAATAGATACATATTGATTAGTGGTCTTAATAATTATACATAATTTATCTAGGCGTACAGAGATATGCTCTTTCTAGATGAAAAAGGAATCGATGTATATTCTAGGAAGTATGAAAATGAATGATTCTAGTTTGTTTCGATTTTTTCTGCGATGCAATAACAAATGTTCATATTTCAACAATATTCAAATGGTTCAATTAGTTGGTTGAACGACCAAAAAGTTGAATCTAGCGGAGTTCATAGGTAAGAATAGTCAAAATTTATCTGAGATACATTATCAAAAAATATGGTCCATTTCTTTGTATTTTCTTTGATCGTACTTTTTTATTTTTCGTAGCCAGATATCTACTACTCGGAATAGAAATAGGAAATTGACTTCATTATAGGACTTATTAATCTTGTAAAATTTTTAAAATATCGGGTAGGAGTCCATGCCGCTACTCGGACTCGAACCGAGATGCTCTAGCACTGCTTCCTAAGAGCAGCGTGTCTACCAATTCCACCATAGCGGCTGACTCGAAATCATAATAACCAATTATTTAGTCAAAGTCAATAGTCAATCGTCGAGATTGAATAAAGTGAAGTCCAATATTTATTGAGTACATTTCTTTACTATTTACTAAACATTTATTCTCAATTGATAATAAAACTAAATTGATAATAAAAAGTAATTTAATTTTTTCTAATATATAATAGAAATGAATATAGAAATATATGATATATGCAATCATTTTCAATTTAAGTAAAAGAAGTTTTGATTTCTATATTCATTTCTTTTTTTTTTTCCCATGCAGTGTTCGTTTTCAAATTTAACAACGACGGGGAATGGGTTTTTTGTAGTTTATACTTTTTCAAATAAAAAAAAGCACTGTTGAAACTAGAACTATCTAGTTCTGACTTCAATCCAGTAATGAAAAAGAAATTTTTTTTGTAGTTGCTTATGAATCATTCAAAAAAATGAGATTATATATATATCTAGAATATATTCTATATTCTATAATATAGAATATATTCTAAATATATGTTTATATATGTTTCATATTCTATAATAGTATTAGTATAAAATGACTATTAAAGAATACTCTTTGAATCGAGCTAATTCAGATTATTCTCGTCCAACATTTGTATTTCTTACAATAACACAACTTTTTTTTTGATTACGTGGCAAAAAAGGGCGAGGTTTTGTATTTATTACAATACGATAACTTTTTGAGGTACCTGTCAAAATAGAGTCAGCTAATGAAAAGGCTTTCAATGCTGCCTTATATCCTTTTTTTTTCCAAAAATTCTTACGAATTTTTTTTTTTGATATAGAAGTGCGTTTTTTTGGAACTGGCATACAATTAGTATAGTTTTTTCGTTGCTATAGTTTGATGTGAAAGACATTTGTTCTGTAAATGAAAACGAATTATTCTGTAATTAGCCGTATGTCTTATCTATCTAAATTAACTCTTTCTCTTTTTTTCCATCGAAAGGTAAAGTAAAAACATTGAATATTATAAACCTTTTCCAAATTTTTCATAGATAATAGATATATATGGATCTCTTTTTATTGTAATGTAAAAGAATCAATTAGTTCAAAAAGGAACTAATGTTTCTGAATAAAAAAAAAGTATTATTTTATATTATATTATTTTTCTAATGTATATCAAAATAAACAAATGTTGTTAGTTTTGGTGTACTGATTTATCCTCATCCTCGCTCTATAGATAAGAGATAAAAATTTTTATTTTACAATTATTAATAGTCCTTTTTCTTAATATATATATAAATTAAAAAATAACTAACCTAACATAGGAATTAATAGTAATATTAATTAATGAATATATTACTGAAATACTGAAAATAATAATTATTATTTATTTTTTTCACTAGGAATTTTGTTATTGGCCAGTTTTGACTTTGTACTTTCCAATATGGGGACCATTGTGCAAAGATTCAGAACAATTAAGAATATCCAATTCTATTTCTATATCCACTTTTTTATTAACCGAGCCCCTTTACAAAAGATATAAAACAAACGAATAAGAAACAAAATTCATCAAGAATCTAAATATTTTTTATTCTTTCTTTTTGTATGGAATATACACATCAATCTTCATGGATCATACCTTTCATCCCTCTTCCAGTTCCTATTTTAATAGGGGTAGGACTTCTACTTTTTCCCACGGCAACAAAAAATCTTCGCCGTATGTGGGCTTTTCCTAGTATTTTCTTGTTAACCATAGTTATGATTTTTTCGATCGATTTATCTATTCAGCAAATCGAGAATAGTTCTATCTATCAATATGTATGGTCTTGGACTATAAATAATGATCTTTCTTTAGAATTTGGCTACTTGATCGATTCACTTACTTCTATTATGTCAATATTAATCACTACTGTTGGTATTCTGGTTCTAATTTATAGTGATAGTTACATGTCTCATGATCAAGGGTATTTGAGATTTTTTACTTATATGAGTTTTTTTAATACTTCAATGTTAGGATTAGTTACTAGTTCAAATTTGATACAAGTTTATATTTTTTGGGAATTGGTTGGAATGTGTTCTTATCTATTAATAGGTTTTTGGTTCACACGTCCTATTGCGGCAAATGCTTGTCAAAAAGCGTTTGTAACGAATCGTGTAGGGGACTTTGGTTTATTATTAGGAATTTTAGGTTTTTATTGGATAACCGGTAGTTTGGAATTTAGGGATTTATTTCAAATATTCAAGAACTTAATTTATAAGAATGAGGTAAATATTCTTTTTGTTACTTTGTGTGCCCTCTTGTTATTTTGTGGTTCAGTTGCAAAATCTGCCCAATTCCCTCTTCATGTATGGTTACCAGATGCTATGGAAGGTCCTACTCCTATTTCTGCTCTTATACATGCTGCTACTATGGTAGCAGCAGGAATTTTTCTTGTAGCTCGACTTCTTCCTCTTTTCATAGTTATACCCTCGATAATGAGTGGAATAGCTTTGATAGGTATAATAACAGTAGTATTAGGAGCTACTTTAGCTATTGCTCAAAAAGATATTAAGAAAAATTTAGCCTATTCTACAATGTCTCAATTGGGTTATATGATGTTAGCTTTAGGTATGGGCTCTTATCGAGCCGCTTTATTTCATTTGATTACTCATGCTTATTCAAAAGCATTGTTGTTTTTAGGATCTGGATCCATTATTCATTCAATGGAA